ATGGAAAGCTACCGCTGCCCATAAACATCCACAATTGCAGATGCGTTGCCTACCCTTAATTGATGGAGGAGGAGACGCACATAAAGAGGACTTTACCCCTTCCTATGCGTCTTCTCTACCGTCAAATCCACTTTTCCTTCCTATCCTTTCCTCTTAAGAAAAACGTGGAAAGGTACTAAATTAGGCCTCCGGCACCACACTCATCAGACGTAACACAGAATTGCTTCCACTTCACGCCTGTTTTCTGGCGTGGCGAGCCGGCCCATTCGTGCGAAGATGTTAAAGCGGACTCTACCACTGTTATCTATACCTCTTTAGATTATTCAAGCATGTAGATTGTGAGAAAATATATAACAAGCTTTTTAAAAGTCAATAACAATAATAATAGACCCTTTTTACTGTTCCGCAAACTCTATACAAATTATACCTTGACCTAGAATACAAAATCTTAACCTGAGTTTTCTCCTTTGGAACACCTTTTTTTAATGTGCTTAAAGAAATTAGTCCCATATTCCGCTGTCATACATGATTTCATATTCACAGTCCAGGTCCTATAGATCTAACTTTGACCTGGACCCCTTGCCCACTATAGTGGGGAAGGGGTCTAACTCTAGGTACAGTCAGAAAAAATAGTGGTATACCTCATTTACTCATTTAAATGTATACTTATCGAGACGATATAGAAATTTAAATAATTACCGATAAGATCTAGCTTTTAAATATGTCTATACGAAAAAAATCTTTACACGACTAATTACTTTTTAATCTCCGCACTACTACCTAATTGGTTATTTGTAAGGATGAGTCTGTAGAAAGTGTATCACCGCGTATGTCCTCGCCTGTACATACCTCTAGCCGGGCCTCCGCCTGCTTGGCGAGGTCTCTCTGCGCCTGAGCGAAGTCCCGCAGCATGCCCGCCACCCGCCTTCTCTTCTCCAACTCCTCGGACAGCCTCAGGTTGTACTCCGCGAGCAGTTCCACAGCGGAGTTCACTACCGTACTCAGACTGAGCGCGGCTTCCTTATCTGGAATAAATGGTTGACTTTCTAATGGCTCTTGGTAGTCCAAATATCGTGGTTTTTTTATCAAAGAGTATGTAAGGGATGGGAAAATGTGATACAGAGTGCAATGTAGTTCTGTAATGCAATTTTTAGGGCCTGTCCCACCACTGGCTGATAGAGGCTCAGATAGCTTAAAAATGACGTAACTCAGGTAAGGGAACAAAATCTGATATTTCCATCACATATTTCATTAGACAATTTACAATTTGATGGGACAGGCCTTAAATGTAGTTAAAGGTCCCTTAAAATTTGGTATTGTGGTAAATTGAGCCTTTCTCAGGTTTTGCATATAGTTATAATAATAAACTAGTTGTTAATTTATTAATAACAATACAATCTAGGGTAAATGTAGGGTGTTCGTAAATAGTTTATAGAGTTCAAACTCTGAGCAAAATCTTTTATTGAGTTTAACTTAAGTACAAAACGAAAATTCGCGGCTTACTGATTTTTTAGGTTATCATTCAAGTAATTTACGTTAGAATATTATTATTTAAATATAGTTATGCAGTAATTTGTTCCTAGTTCTTGACTAATAGCATCAACAGTGCAAGTTACCATTGCACTGTAAGATAGAAAACTATTTTTGCTACCAGTTAATATAACTGTAAATTATAAATTATTAAATGTTCAAACCACTGGACTAAGTTATATGTAACTATGATTAGCTGATAGATTTAAAAATGAAATGACTATACAGGTTTATTTTTATTTCAATGAGTGCTAAAGGAATTTCAGTGTTATATTTTTTATCATAATTTGAAGGTCAAAATAACTGACTAGTAAGTGTATCATAGTTTAACAAACTTATCTGGACTAATAGTACTCATATTTTGTTTTTTTTTTAGAAAATATCACAAGTAATATGACCACAACATAAGACAGCTACAGTCAGATAAGCCAACTGGCAGTTTTTAGGGAGTGCTCCACTATTTCTCACTGGGCCAAATAAATTTGTCGCACTAGTAATTGCAGACTGCATAAAACAGATGTATAAATGAAACAAAATTCGTTTGTATCAACATTTATTTGTATAATTATAACAAAAACTGCTTGATGCAGTCTGTGGTAGTGATTGTTGTTACCTGCTAACTTAGATAATAACTGAACTTCGGATACTTCCGGAGGCAGAGAGGCGATCCTTTCCCTCACAGCCTCGTCACTTGATGCACTTGATTCTAACTCTAATAAAGCCTGCAATAATTAATTATTAAAAATTAGTGATTAACAATTTACTGAATTTATTTGTTTAATACTAGCTTTTGCCGCCATCAATCATACTAATCTTACTCATGTTATAAATGCGAAAGTTATATGGATGGATGTTTGTTAGAGTTTGTAGCCTAAACGGCTTAATGGATTTTGATGAAATTTGGTATAGATGTAGAGGATAGGCTGGAAGTACACATAGGTTGCTCACTTTTGTTTTTTTTAATTTCATGCGGACGGAAGCTAGTACTGAATAAAAAACTTAATAAGTAGTTACTTCAGACTACATCTGCACATTTTAATGGACATTTGTCAGGATCTTCTGGAGATAGGGTAACAAATATCCATCCATACGTTTTAAGATTTGCATTTTTACATTCATTATTGATTTAAAAAAATTGCTTCAAAATTGTATATCTAATAAATTAGATGGGATTTTTGTTTTTTTTGTGTTATTATTTGTTGCAAATTGTTACTGTTTTGTAGGTTATTATAATATTTCTTGTTGGTAAAAATTTATAAATATAAATAAATCAAGAATTTACCAGCTTTATTACTACTTTGTAGCATTTAGGCTGTATTTACATACCAACTACAAAAAAGTAAACATTTAAAAAAAATATTATACCATACCTTTATTAACTCTTCAGGTTCTGGAGGATCACCAGGTGGGGTCTTTGGACTGAGTGTGACATGTGTTTCTATATGACCGTCAATTTCCACCTTTGTTTCACTTCTCCGTCTTTCTCTATTTTCTTTATTTTCTAACTTTGGCTTCTTCTCAGTCTCTTTTACTTCTTCCTTTACATCTGTTTTACGTTTTGTCCCTTGATTTGGTATTGCATCGTTTGGATCCACTGGAATATAAAATTTTAATACAGACTAAATTGAAAAATTTAAATAAAAATGTCTTGTGATTATTTTTAAATGCCAGAAAGAAGAGACCACATTAATTCTTATATGCTCTTAAACATGTAGTCATTATTATTTACTTCTCAAATTAGTAACTTAAAAAAAAGTTTAAAAAATTTAAAATCCTGTTAAAATGAAAAACTTGACTTTTCAATGAAACTAACTAGGCTGAAGTCATGTAAAGACAGGGAATAGATATATTTAATTTTTGCGTTTTATAAATAGAACTGGGCAGAAACTATTACTAAAGTGTTATCTTGGTTTGTGCATACATCATATAAAATTGCCTATGGTTACTAATAATTTATTTTAATATTAAAATAAATTCATGAATACTTACTGGCTTCTTTAAATTCTTGTATCTTCTCAGCATCATAGACACCTCTTTCTTGCCAAATGGACAATATCCTATGCAATGATTGCTTGGTTTTTGCATTAATACCTGTTTTGGCCATGTGCTGGAAAGTTGGCACGAGCACCTCACCAAATTCTTTGCCATATTCTGGACCCTTCTTTTTACTGTTTTGTATCACGTCATTTGCAAGGTACATAAAAGTGAGCTGTTTACTGTCTTTTGCTAAAAGAACAATTTATTATTAGAGTATTGAGGCATGCAGTACATTTAGCTGAAAAGATATATTTTTGTTTTAACAATCATGATCACCTAGCCAACTTTTATATATTAAGGAATAATTCCAGAAACTTCATAAATACTGTTTATGTAACCAAAATAAAATGTTTCAGTACAAAACTTTTAAATCACTGTAAATATGTTTTAATCATTCATGTTAATAATTTCACTGTTTCTATACATAATTAAACGATATGATGTACTCAAGGAAAATTACAGGTTACCTTTTAACAATTCTTTAAACCAAGTTTTAACTATGGCAGCGTGGTGTTTGCGATGGTGAATTAACCATAAAGACAACGTTTGGATACTTTGTTGACTTGAATTCAGGTCTTGAAGTTTACGAACTAAAGCATTTTCAGTAAAACCTGCCATGTCCTCACTAAAATTGATTTAATCACAATTCACAACAAACGACAATATTTCCACCGCGAAATAAAATAATGTGACATTGACAGTTGTTTTTTTTTTGCACAGATTTCGTGCGTTCAATTGGAAAACAGACTAAATAAATGCCTGCTCGAATTTAAAAAAAGATCATTAAATTGGTTCTAACTATTTGGAAGGTAAGGAAATCATCGTAATTTTTTTTTTTAAATTAATATTAAATCAGTACAGGTCGTTTAAAATATACTTATAGGAGTGTTGGCCTAGACTAGACGGCACTGCTACATTATTCTCGAAGATAGTTTGCCGTTATCATAATATTGGTTAAAATCAGTCTAGTATTTTTTTAACTTTATTTAGATTTAAAACAAAGGACCGAAAAATATTTTTAAAGTAAACCTATCACACAATAGCGATCGTAATTACCTACTGATAAACCAAAAAAGTGTATTTTGGCTACGAAAACGCAGTTGTATTTTATTGATTATGAGTATTCCCTTCGAACTGCAAATGAGATTAATTTTCCTGTGTCTGATTGATATGACATCCGCTAAATACTGCAAGCACGAAAAAGGTCTGACGTCTTGATAAGATCTAAAATATGTCGATGATTACATATTTCAGTCGAGAAACAAAAAACGACAAAAAACAAAGTCCTTTAAGGAAATTGTCATGGCTGATAAATGTTGAGGTCGTTGGTACAGTACCCTCATAACTTTCTCAACAATCTGTTCAAATATTAACAAGACACTTCCTGACGTAAATGCTACACACGATGTAAAATATTTGTTGTAACGTCACATAAATATGCTATATGATTGTACGAGGGATCCGCCTTTTGTAAGTAATATAGCAAATGAACGAATGAACATGTAGATTGAAGATACACTTGAGATTATTACTATTTTTTCTCAACCTTGAGGCGTTAAAATAATACTACAAACAGCAGGGCAATCTTCAATATAAAATATAACCTAAACAGGAATATGAAAATTCGGGCCTGGAGAAACTTAAATCGTCAATTTATATGTGTGCAAAGAATATAGTGCCATGTGTTCTTAACATGGAGAGGTTTTTTGTATTCCTAATCAGGCTATATTGATTCAATAAAATTTAAGCGATGAAATTACGATTCTACAAATAAGAGCAAAACAGTCTGTCTGTCGGCTGACTGGATGGTTTTTTGCTTAACCTATATCTTTTCCTTTCTTATCGATATTTTGTCCTTTGAATTCCGGTATTAAGCATTTCAAATCGTTTACATTTGCATAGTTTATTTTACGTACCATCATCTTCGTGGTACTAACATCAGTTTAATGATGTTTTAAACCGGTTTTAATTCGATGTTATGATTTGTATGCGACTTTGAATTTGCGTTTACTTACCTAAAAACTGCAAAATAGGTAAAACAAAGATTTGTAGTTACTTTTTTGAAATGTAAGATTTAGGGCCTGTCCCACCACTGGCTGATAGCTTAAAAACGTTGTCACTGTTAGAAAATATAACAAAAACCGATACTTCCCACATATTATACACGTTGGATTTTTACCAGACATTTTACAAGTATTTGGTAGGACTGACTCTTAATCTTTAATTAACTAAATACAAGCTTAGTATCTAGATACTATCGACCATCAGATCACACACAAAAGTAAAGAGCGGATAAAAGCAAGCAAAAAAAGCAAAAACAAGCAAACATTTGTAATAATATTACCGATAATCGTAATTTCTGATTATGCATTAAATGACACTGCAAATTAGGTTAGGTTTCCATTGGAGTATAGTGTAATACACTAACTCTGCTGTTCTAACTACTACTTTGTGTAATCAAGCATTAGTGTGCAAACTTTAGTGCGTTCCGGTCTACAAGACGTATGCTAGCGCAATTAATGACTTAACAAGACGGCACCATACCATCAGGAGTAAACGCAAATTAACTGTCATTTGTATTACAAAATTATGGGTAACATAGGGCCTTATTTTATTGTGTAAGTCTTTGGGTGTAGATTACAAATGTATTATCGGCAAGGGAATTGATTTTTGATTTGATTTATCGATTTACATATATGTTCACTGTTTGTTCATTTGGATCTTTCTTGAAGAACCGCTTATTGGACGCTTACTTATTCTGCTTGAATGTGCATTACCAGTATTTTAAACTTTACGGACAAATGCGAATCTACTTATATGAAAAAAAAAATATGATTAGAACTTTTACGTAATTAGATCTTATTGTTTTAATATTAATAAAGTTTTGGTCATAAAGTACACATAAAGCAAAATTATAGTACAAGTATTCCATTGGTATGTTTAATCGTGACCTTGCAATTGGCGAAGACGTTGCGATGCGATGCGTCTAATTTTAATTTATAGACTGGTCCAACTTGAAATCCTACAATAGTGGTTTTCGTAAAATAGTTTTTATCGTGTTATGTTAAGGTGCATTGATGGACCTTAAATATGGTCCTTCGTGGATACACTCGATCTTTCTCCCGTATACGCACCTGCGCTCGCGCGGTTCGTCTCAGTACAGTTTTAAAAGGCCACCACGGAACGCGGCAACCGTCAACCGCGTCCGCTGAATCCGCGCGAAAATGAAATCGAGTTTCTAAATTCGAACGTTCGATTTTTTTTAGCAATAAAAACTCTTTGCTGTCAAAACATCTTTCGATTCGTATTTAATTTTTTTACTTTTACAACTTTTTACTAAAGATAGCGTGATAAAAATGCAATTCTTCAGCCTCAGTTACGTGTTTAGTGTAGTTTTGATATCGATAGTTTTATTAGCCCGTGCTCAAAGGCCTAACAATCAACGTGACCTCGGTGAGTACATTGAATTAAAAAGAAACTATAGTTTTCATTAAAATACAGTAAGAACAAGAATGTTGTTTTAGCAATCCTAAGCTCGATTTGCCCATAGATCGCACTAATGACCCTCAGAGTTATAGTTCAAAAATGTGATTAACTTCACGCAATCTCATTGCGTTGGAACGTCCAATAAAATGAATCTGCCTTGATTTATGACGACATAAATTTTTATTGTCGTATGTAAAAATTTAAATCTGTAATTTAAATAAAATTTTCGATTCGATTTTCTTTTCAAAATAAACATATTTTGAAAAGAAAATCGGAAAATACGTAATTCTAAGTATTAATTTTTTTTACGGTTTCTGTAAAAATATCAAGGAGATAATAGTTCAAAATTATGTAAACAGAAGTCATGCGGAATTAGTTGTTACTTTTTCATATTATAGCTAATAAGTATTTTATTATTAAGTTTTTTACAGTTCGATAGCCTATTACCTTGACCATGATATACATGTCAATTAAACTCTGATTTTTATAACATTTCTCACTAATTAAATCTTGTTAATTGTGAATTAAAATCTACAAATAATTATTCTCAACTATGGTACGGTTTACTTTTTAATTTTCACTAAAGCAGGTGTTTAATGATTGAGTCGGAACACCTTTCATCGTGTTATATAACGAGTGACCGTGATTATATATAAGTATATAACATAGTGTTTGGGATCCGTTGCCTACGATACCACTTTTACTTTTAGTGACACAACTGCGAGTGAGATTTCTCTCGCCAGTTAATGACAGCCTTAAGTATACGCTAAGATATATTGATAATTTGATGTACTATGTATATTAGATTGGTGTAATATAGTATATTAGATTCAGAATAGTAAAATTAATAACAGTAATTAAGGTTTTGTGAATTCAATATGGTCGTCGCCAGGACAGGGTAGCTGCTCCTCCTTAAAGCCTCGAAAACTGTAAAATATATGTAAAAATTTAATCGAAATTCAAGGTCTTAGATTCTACAAACCCTAGAAACCCTTATAGATAACTCAAAAACTACTGCTTAGTTGTTTGACATATTGACTAGTTTGTTGATAGCAGTACGATGTAAAAATTCAATGGAATTTTATTACTACTCCCCTTGATCATCCCTCTAGGTAAACGAGTGGCGACACCAATAGAATTTATATAACATCTGTATTTTTTATATAATGATATGTCTAAAATCTAATATAATTAAGAAAAAGAAAAGTAATAGCTTACAACGAAATTATCTTTGAACTTGACTTTTAAAAGACAATCTTTATGTCTTGATCAAGGTTGTAAGTAAAATTATCAATTTGTTCAAAATACGAGGATTTTATAGAACATATAGCTTTTTAACCTGTTTCATAGAATCGTGTAAGCATGTGTAGAAATATTTCAAACCTCGTCAGCCCTATTCATTTTATGTAGATTTAATAGTATTTCGTGAGGAAGGCGATTGTCGGAACATAACAAACCCGTTTAGAACTATCTCTATATTAACATCAGTATTGTTTGGGCGTTCGTTTTATTACTATTTTGTACTATGATATTAACATTGACAATTACAAATTACAATTAATTTGGAGGACGAAAACCCGGTGCGCCGACCCTACGGGGTAGGATAAGGCAGGGGAGATGATGATGATGAATTACTACTAAAAAAAAAGTAATAAATGGTATTCAATTTTTGTTTATGTTTTAAGTTCAAAATAGCAATATTCATCTTTCCCCGGACATGTATTATGTGACTAAATAATAAACAATCTATAGTGGAAGACAATATATTTAGTAACTTTTAAGGTTAATTTACAAATGCAGGAATTTCGGAAGTTGTTAAAAATTAAACGTCATTAACTTTACTCTACAAAAAAGGTTATGTCCTTTAAGTTATCTTAAAATGGTTTAAATTTAATTAGCTATTGAAACGAATTATTAATGGCCATGGGTTATTTAATTATATCGTATTTCAGTTAAAAATATCACATATTGGAATCAATATTTTACGATATTGTTAAAATACAAAGTTAATAGAAGCTGTAATGATATACATGATGTCATAGTATTGTATTATTATTATTCTTGTGACTGATTCTGAACGACTTTGACATATACTTACTGGAGCGTGTCATTATATCTTTCAACCTGTGATTAACTCCATTATTATAGTTAATTTTAATTAAGAATGCAGTCGCAGTGTTATTACGAATTAAACTGTGCAGCATTCTGTATTACAAGTCATCAGCTTTTGCTATCGACTTCGTTTACAAATTAAATCATGCTGTTAACACACATTAAAAAAAAACAGGCGAATTAAGTACCTCCTTCTTTTGGGAAGTCGGTCAAAAAAAAATAGCCATTGCGTTCTTTTAGACCACGTTCTACAATGCTTTGCGAGATCTGTTCTGGATCTGTTTTTGTTCTGGAGATACTGAATATAAAATCTACATTCCTTCCCTCTAGGCATTTACTTAGTCATCCATTTTTATAATAACTTGCTCTACAGGAGGGTCGGCGCAGTATGTGCATCTCTTCCATACATCTCTATCAGTCGTCATATCTGTATCCACTCCCTTCTTAAGCATATCCTATTTCGCACAATCCATCTATACTTTCGTCGTTTTTCCTCTACCTTTGTAGCCATCCATCCATTGAAAATGATTCGAAAATTAAAATTAGAAATGGTGCCTCTAAGATTGGTCAAGTCGTTATGTTGGCTTTGTTTAAAATGATTAAAGAATAAATTAACATAATCGAAAATCTCAAGTCTAGACTTTGAATCAATAACCAATAAATATTAGAATACCATTGTCGTTTCAAGTAAATTCAATAAAATAATTTTAAAAGTTCACATATTCATAACATGTAAGTCATGTAATATTCATAAAGTTAATATAAATTATTAGTAAATCTAACAAATTATATTATTGTTATACGAATGGAAATATTAATCACATTTGCTTGTTTTTATAGAAAATGATTGAGATCGCTTGGTAAAATTTTATTCAAAAGGTATTATTATGTCAGCATTATTATTCTTATTGGCATTTAAGTTATATCTTATTATTAGCTTTTATGTTAATATGAAGAGATGATTTATTTAACTTTTTATTATTATTTTTCTTATAACATAAGGTGGCAAACAAGCAAGCGGCCATCTAAATCCGCCAAAATGGCGAAGCGACCGCTGCCCATAGACATCCTCAATTGCAGATACGTTGCCTACCCTTATCCGACGAAGGAAAAGACACACATAAAGAAGATATTTCCCCCTTCCTATGCATTTCCTCCACCGTCAAATCCACTTCCCCTTCCCATCCTCTCTTTATACGAAAAGGGTGGTAATGAGAAAGGGACTTTAATTAGGCCTCCGGCACCACAAGCATTATTATTATTATTATTTAGTTAACTTTAATGTCTATAGGTTATGGTGTTAGTGTGACATTTTTATTCATCAACTTCATAAGTTTTGTAAACCGATGGTTATATAAATTAAAAAAGCGTCTATAAAACAACAAAGCTTGTTGGCTGATGCTGGCCGATGTATACTTTTAACAAACATTTGTAATATGACACTTTCTATTTCGTAAGATTGCTAAAAAGTGCGTAATCACAATTAATAGAATGCATTAAATATTCAGCGACGAGGGAATAGGTTGATGCAAATAGCTACAAGTTGGTTTCTATTATACAGATTAAAAAACAATTATTTTCAGCTCATCTCTTTTGTACAAAATACGCAAGTCATCGTATTGAAAATTTGGTTGAGTTAAAATTGACTAGTGTTCTGTTTTACATACTTCGATCAACGAAAAATTTTTGCTTGTAGATTGAAAGGTTATTTGAGTATTTCTGTAATTGAAGGGATATTTAATTTATAAAACTTAGTAAATAATAGAAGTCGCTATTTACTTGTTTTTATTACAATTAGTAGTTTTGGATTAAGTTAAAGAATCTTGGTTTATTCGTGTGTGCTGCAGTCTTATTCTGTTTCAAATGGCAATTAAAAGATAAATACTAATCAGAGAAAGATTTTGTCTAAAGAAGAGTAAAAAACATTTTCTAAATTAAATAGAATTTCGATAAAACGTTATCTGATAAAAAATAGATTGTTAGGATATTGAAAAATGTTTGTTAAACTTTCTCTCAGAGATATCTATTAGCGCTTTGTCGTAACGCGAAGATTCTATTCATAGAATACTTTTGCTTAGCCAAAAAATAGTTGCCAGTGTAAAAAATGTTGCTATTAGATAAATAGATTTTGAAAAGACTGGCTGGAAACAATTTAAATAAAAACAACACCAAGCTATATTGCTTGGTAAATTGTTATTTTTTTATTTTTGTTTTGTTTTTTATTTAGTGTTTCTATTACATTATCACGTAATAGGTAATACTGATTTTAAACATAACATATAGCTTAAGTCGAGACTTCTTACAATATTTTTTTAGAGGTTACTTTTATTAACTAAAGATAACTTCTTAAATTAATACAATTCTAACATATTATTGAATGTAATAAATATGAATTAAATAAATATTTAACCTAAAGTATACTTATTTCCGTTATAATTATTAAAATCATCATACTAACGTCAGTGTTACGTGATACGCTTTTAAACGTGTCAGGAAATATGACGGAGCAAAATGAGTGGCATTTGACCTTCTGTTCCTGATATTAGTTACATTTTTTGGACTATTATTTAAAAATACGTTCTATATCCACGTCTCCATAAGAATCACTGATCTCTTAAAATGGATAGCATTACGTTCCTATTAAAACACGCTGGTGGATGTTGCTGAGAGTTAATTCTGTTCCATTATTCTAATCCAAATACCAACAAATAGGCACAAAATCTTAGCATGTCCATTTTTAAAGTAGCTATTTATATAAATATACTCGTCTGTTTATTTTTTAATTAAGTTTTTACACAAGTGTTTCGTCAGAGAAAACTCAATATGATTTTCTAATCGTCATATTGACCTCGACC